AGACTAAAGAGGCATCTGGCTGATCAGAAGTGCACTTGGACTAGAGGGAAATGTGGCCCCACAAGAGAGGGTTGATGGACTTTCCAAAGGAGCAGGTAAGCAGACCAGAGGGGCACTCTGGTGGACTAAGGAGGCCAGAAAGTTAATTTAGAATGACAAGACAACATTTGAGCAGAGAAGATGGACGCTTGGTGACAAGAGGGTTCAGAGTGGGACTTGGGCTGACAAAAACAAACCATGGAACAGATTTACACACATCCTGGTTAAAAGGGAACCATACGGTGAATCCAAAGTGCTTCTATTAGTAGGAGGGAGAGTTTTCTGAGGAGTGTATTCTTTAACAGTTGAGCCCAAAGACGGCTGTAAATTCAGTTTGTTTTCACTGAAGCTGCTGGCTGAACACAATATATGCTGGACTATAGTATACACACATGCACTGCCTTCAGGACAACGCTGCCACTATCAAAGACTGACAGAGCACAGGAGAGGTTTTCAAAAGACAACTGTGAGTGTTGGGGAGAGGGGGAGAGGAGAGAGTGACTGTTAGGGAAGACAAATGAAATATGGCAGAGAAAAAGAAACAAGGAGAGAGAGAGAGTGACACTGTGTGTGTGTGTGTGTGTGTGTGGGTGTGTGTATGTGAATTGTAGAGCCTGAGCGTAAATCTGCGGATGGCGTGGTTTTAACGAGTCTCCTAACGACCCAAACAACCCCTGCTGACATTTACAGTCCTTGCCGGGGGGAGGCAGGGGGTCAGAGACCTCACACAACCCCCCACACCCATCCACACACACACACACACCACCCTGTCGTTTTCTGTCATGACACACATATTAGCTTTCTTCTCTGGTTGAAGGGCATACTGACGACACACACCCACACTGCACCCCCCCCCTTCACACACACACAGACTCTCTGCTATCCTTTAATTTTTATGTTTCTCTCTTTTCATCTTCTTTTACTGCCTCCCTTTCATAATCTGCCTCTGCTCGTACAGACATAACACTCACTTAACTGCAGACTCCACGTAGTTCTGCTTTGTCACACACACACCACAGCACCACCACCACCGACCACACCCACACCAGACGAAGCAATGGCCTAAAGCTGAATGTGCCACTTGGTTTAGTGACGTCTGTCGTTTTCACCCAGAAGAACCATGTGGAGCAGCAGGAGCACAGGTAGTCTTCAGTACGACGCTCCAGAGGGCAACCGGCTTAATCCTGTGTGGTCAGTACAACTACTACAGAGGGCGAAAGAACGTAAGCACGGCACACCACCCCACCCACGACACACACAACAAGACCAGCACCCACACAAGGACCACACACACAAAAGCCCTGTGGCTCTTTGTCATAAGTCTCTCACACCGCGTCAACTTGGCCCCTCAAACATTTTTTTTCCCCCCGCAACATTTGGAAATGCCACCAGCCTTTGGAGAAATAAACAGCGCCGTGCTCTGAGACAACATTATGGTGGACTTAATGGAAACAAGGAATTACACTTGACACACACACACACACACACACACACACACACACACAGCACAGAACAGACCACAATGTCCCCTTACGTCATACAGAGAGCATTTTAGTAGTAGAGTAGTTCTGTTTTATTTGGGCATTTTATTAAATTATTAAGTGATCTGTTTATGTGGCATTCTGGGAGATCTCATTTTCTTGGTATGTTATTATACACCATTACTTATCAGCTTATCAAGCATGATGTATTGATTTCTGATCAATAAAAGCAGTTTTTCTTCGATAGAAAGCTATTTTGTCTTCCCAAAAACATACCTACAGTGGCTCACAGGGGTCGTATATTAATCTACGACAGCTCAACAAAAACAAGCAACACTTTTGAAATATTAATAAGGCGGTCCAAATTGCAGCCCAATTACTTTTGATTTGTATTTACGGACGTGCTGTAAACTTTCAAGGGCATTTTTGTCTATGACGCCTGCTCATTTCTGACCCTGGCGCAGACAAACACATTAATCCACATCCCCCCCACTCAGTTGCACACACATACAAACACAGAGCATTACACACAGAAAACACAAACCTAAGTGACAACTTTGCAGCCCAGCGCTGTGGTGGCTGAGGGGAAATTGTGCCATCTGCCAGTAAACGACAGTCATTTTATCCCTACTGCTCGTCCATCTGTGGACGTGGGGAATGCGGCTGGAGGCCAGGAGGCCGCGGGGGAGACGAGACGCAGGCCGGAGATGCCTACCAGGCATGGAGGCTGCTGTATGTAAGCTTAACAGCTTTCTTTACCTCCTTACTGTATTATATAGGAAAATACAAGAACGTCAAGAGGATACAGTGGATCCTGTAAGATACATTTTTAACTTCTGACCATGTCTGACAATGAGATTCAATATACGGTCTTTAAAGTTGCATGATTTAAAGATAATTTTTTTAAGTCTTTATTATTTTTATCAATATTCTCAATTTGGGGGTGAATGTAATCCTACAAGTGACTTGAAAATATGAAAATCCTGAAACCTGAAGGTATAAAAGTTTATAAAAGTACCAATTTCCTTCATATTTTCATTCAAAAGTGCCATGGGTTGTGTGTTTATAGAGAAGAGTAGCTTCTCATGGGATTTTACCTTTGACCCCTGCACTCTCTCTTAGCACATTGCCCTGTGGCCAATCATTTCTGCAAATGATGACACACGCTTTCTTCTGAACATGTCCCTCAGTGTGCAGGCCATTTTTGTTATATACTGAAATTAATAAATTCATTTCTGCACGTGCATAATGTTGAAGAGTTCTTGAAGAGTAGTGTTTAATTTATTTAACAGCATCTCTCATGTGATTGAAGGGCTTATAGCTTCACTTGCATGACAAGAAACATCAGATATTTACTGTTATCAGGATGAAACAAAACTCAGAAATAACATCTAGACAATATGGGACATCAAAACTCTCCATTAAGACCCAAATGAACAGCTACTTGGACATGTTAAACTGTTTACTTTCTTTGGGGCATACCAAGGAACAACTTTTAAATGCAGGTTTTCCAGACTGTTTTTCTGTATCTGTGGTGATGAATGAACCTCTGTCACATCAGCGGTGGATGACACTGAATGAAGAGGACAATAAATGAGTCTAACCCACCTTTCAAATTAGATTTTCAGCATCATACTGAGCAGAAACAACTTTCTATCCCAACAGGAAACATCTCTGATGGAAACATGGCTTCACATATTGCGTATTTTCACCTGACCGGCATGCACCTCACATCAAATTAATCTTCACCCCCGAACATGACAAACATTAGCAACTTGAAACAATATCCTCTTCAGAGATGTGCCCTGGCTAGATTTTCTTCTGTCTTCATATCATGCAGGTACGTGGAGATCACAGCCTGAGCACCCGCCACCCTGAGGGGGTTTAAAAAAACACACTCTGCCTTTTGGACTGTGCCAAGCATGATAGGCTGTGATGGCTCCCAGCAGGGAAGGCAATCAGGCGGACAGAATCACAACACGTCTATTGTAACATTGGGGTTTTACATTAGAGAGGGCAACGGGGGCAGAAAGAGGAGAGGAGAGGGATCTTTTGGCTATGAAGAATGGAATTCACACACAGGTAGGAGGCTGTCAGACCAGCCCGACGCAGAGTTGTTTTTTAACCTTTTGAAAGACTTTTTGCTTAAGATTACATCTGAACAATTTTCTTCTAAAGCTGCTAATGCAGAGGCCTAAAACTGTAACATACAAGCTCCATTCAAGTTTTGACTTTTTCAGGTCAAAACTTGAGACAAGAATGTTTAATGCTCCTCGGGTAGTTAAGTCCTCATTTTTGTGACTTACGTCTAGTAGACTGTGAGTCTACTTCTCTGATCTGAGCTCAGTTGTTTGGGTAGAAAACTACAAACACATGCACATTTATATGTTCTTACATACACACACCCACACCCACAAACACACATTGGGTATCTCAGCTTGCATAAGACTCTGGGCCATCTCCAGAAAGCGTCCCCGGCTCCTTGTCTTTCTTAATGCACTGTACTGTGTCAAAGACTCATTTTAAATAACTCTCACTTAAAAAGAAAAAAGGGGGTGGGGGGGGGGCAACACTTGGCTAACGCCTCAGAAAAAGATTACTGCGCTGTGTTAGTTTTTTTGCGCAATATGGAGAGATTAAAGCAAACACAGTCGACGTTTACTTTGGATTGATCTTTGGGTATTTCTCTGCCTCCAGAACAAAGAGGGAAAATCGCGCTAAGCTCAGCGAACCGAGAAGAGTCCAATTAAATCTTCCTCATAAAAAAAAGAGACTCCACCACATTCGTATAAACAATAAATGTTCCTTTTGAAATGCCCCTATTTGAAGTGATGAACACACAGAAAACTGAACATGGTTCTAAGCAGAAGTCATATTAGCACAGAAAATGAAGCGCGGAACAATAGAGGAGGAGAAGCGAATGTGTATGAGCAGCTAAACGCTGTCTTTCTTGTTTTTGGACAGGCACCCTTTCAAGCTTATTTTATCCTGGTTTATGACTGAGTGTAAAGGCAACAAGAGACACAATCTGTGCTGCAAGAAAAGTGTTGCTTTAAGTTTTCTTTTCTCACCACAAAGATGCTTGTTCTGTCTGTCTAACTGTCCAAAACCAGAAGATATTCAAACCACAGTAATATACAGCAAAGAAAAGCAGACACTCTTCACATTTCAGAAGCAGGAACCAGTCAATATTTGGCATTTTTTCTTAAAAAATGACAAATGATTGATTTATCAGCTCATGTTTAAAAACTAATACCAAACAATGAGAACATGTGCAACTGTGTGATCCTTCATATTTCATCATGTGTTTATTTCTTATGGACTTATGTAGTATAACAGCCATAATGCTTTCATGAACATGTTTTTTATTCTAACAGTGAGTCAAATTGCAAAATGTTGGGGTTTTATGGTTTTCCTTGAAGACAGTTACCAGTGTTGAGTCAGCAGTGGTATCAGCAGGTTTTTGATATTGTATCGTACCTGTGGGCTGAGCAGTGGGCAGTCTGGCCGGAGCGACGCAGAGAGGCAGGAGGAAGGAAAGCCAGAGTGAGCACCACAGAGCCGTCATTCCTCTGCACGACGAGGTGAGACGTAGAGCAGCAAGGCCCGACTCAGACTCAGACAACATCCTCCGTTCGCATGCTGTCCAGCAGAAGGGCGGCCTCCGACGCCGCAAGAAACAATCCAACAACTCCCCGCCAATGACCTAGAAAACAACAACAAGTGGGAGGGAAAAGAAAAAATCAGTTGGAGCTGAATGGTAGAGAGAAGGCTGGATGTTCCTCATGAGATTCAGAAACAGATTTGAAGAAGGCAGAACTTGCAATCAGTGAGAAAAACAACAAAGTCTAGAATATGAAAAATAGGACTGCAAATTGAACACAGCACAAAGAAGCGCCTTGGGGTCTGCACACATGCTGCAATATTTTGACCTGACATTCCACACAGATTTCAAGGATTAGGGTGGAAATCCTTCTTCGCAGTTTTTCTCAGAAACGTTCTCAGAGCAGCTGATCATTAAGAGGGATGCATAGGAGCTCTAGTGTAGGAACAGCTAAAGAAACCTTTATTATGATACCCCCAGCCTAGAGCACAAGTTCATTAACCAATCAATTAACTCTGCTTAGTTGAGGAGAGAGAAAAATGACATAATTTCAGACCTAAACAGCCTGTGATTCTTTCCACGGGACTCTTTTCTGCTTGAGAAACCCTTCTGCATGGTTTAGCAACCGATTGACATGGATTCACTAATCTTCCTGCAGGATGAGGAATGCCGAAGTCTACAGTATCAGTTGCCCAACGTGCCCGACGGCTCACAGGAGGAGGAGGAGAAGGAGGAGGAGGAGGAGGAGAGTGCTTGACGGCTACGGCGAGCGACGGCGGAGTGCTCTGCTCTCTGTTTGCTTAAGCAGGGAGAAGCTGGAATGCACAGAGGTTTGCGGAGAAAGCTCTGAGCGAGGTGCCCAGAAAAGCAAAGCACAAAACCCCCCACATGCACACACGCACACACACACACACACACGCTGGTTAAACTTAAGCAGCTCTGTCCAGCTTCAGAATAGCCTTGGCTGTGAGACGTCCACCCCGATAAAAACACCCGCACAGGTTTTAGCGAACACACACGCAAACATCTCAGTGGGCTTTGCTTGCACACACAGAGGTGTATTGTACACATACACAGTCCAGAGAAAGGTTGTGTTGTCTTAAGTCTTAACAGTACTGTTTTTCTTTCTCTCAGAGGACCTGTGACCCACCTTGCTCAGCACAAACTCTGCAAGGCTCTGTTTGCACATTATCACTCCTCAACACAGAAAACACCAACTGGGGGAACTTCACAAGACACACATGGGTAGATAAAGCAGCACAGACACAAACACACACACACACGCACAGTTTAATCTAAACACTGGCACTGCACCTTTCCTGCTCCAACATACTGCAGCCTTTCATGTTCTCTTTACGCTCTTCTTCTACTCTCTCAGCCCATCCTCACTGTCTTCTTACACAAGACGCCTACATGCTGCTGCAGTTTGTTTATACAGTATGATAAGGCCTTCGCTCTCCAGGCGTGGAGGTAGCTGATTGCAGGCCTCTCCGATTTGAAACTTTTTGTTTTCTCTGGCAGGCACAGACACACACGTGAAAAAAAATCTCAGCTTTTTACATGGGCACTTCACTTCGAGGGCTGGCAAAGCTTCGAAGATGGATCATGTCAACGTGCAGATCTGTTTAGACAAGCAGCATTACATGTGACATGTGAGAAGAAACCAGAAAAAACAATACCAGCCGCAGACTAATTTGGTGACAGGTAATAGTTAAGACTACCTTGTGCACAAAGTGAATCCTTGGATTTGAGGAGTGTTGCAACATGACTGATAGCATGAAACTGGAGCAAATTAAATCCAGTGTAAGAGCAGCAGGCAGTATATATAGTTACTTGACAAAATATTAACCTTATATCCTCATTTTTTTTAAATATTGAGTGATGAAAATCAAGTAAGGACTTTTTACAAAGTGGACACGTGGAACATTAGAAATGAACTCTTCACAGCCAACTAAAAACACTTGGATTTCACTTAACAACCTCAAGAAGCAGAGAAGAAAGGAGGCGGTATGGATCCCAGAGACCCAGCGTGGAGTTCAAAGCCTCCAAAGTGTTTTCATGCTAATATTTTCTTTAAGCATGAAAGGAAAACACAAACCACCGCAGTGAATAATACATGAACATTAATCATGCAGAACTATCTTCACATTGTAATAGCTCGGAGGCAGAAAAATGTTTTAACCGGGGTTCAAATCCCTGTCATCTCTGCTCCCCTCGGTGAGGATCAATGCGAGGCGATCACATGCTAGTCACACCTCTCTGGAGTGTCAGTAATCTTTAATAATTAAGCCGGAGAATCAACAGCCGGGGCCAGATCGACTTTGTCATTTTGGGCAAAGGGGATTAGAGGTTTTTTGGGAGAGCACAAGTGCAAACAGCAGCCGGGCAGAGGGCAGATGGGTAGTGGAGAGAAAGACAGACTCAAGTGGATAATCTTCAGTATCAGTGACTCTTTCTTCTTCAACTCCTTTTTATCGAATTCTTCCCATTTATTCCTTTCTCTCTGCTCCTCACCATGTCTCCCTCTCTCTTGTCCCCTCACTACTCCTGCCTTCATGACACCACCCTCTTTTCAAAGAACACTCAAACGCACCCTCAGGTGAGAAGAGATATTGATCAGCGGAGAGAGGCAGAGAGACTCCGCGTTTTAAAGCTGTCAGAGGCGACTCCAGGTGTAAAGCGCTGCAGGCTGTGGACTCGGCTCACCTCGGGCTGACACTCAGACGGGAGGGGAGTTAAAGAAAATAAAACCTGTTCACACATTTGTCCTTAGCATGAAACAGAAGATACAGAAGGACACTTTAGTCTCTCAAGAAATACTGAGGCCACATGTGTAAACTGAAGAAAAATAGGTTGACCAAGTGTTTAAGACATAGATAACTCTCTTTGAGACTATATTGCTACATTACAGCAGATACCATGGGAAATTGAAATGTTATAAAACTACAGTCAATATAAACTTTAACTGCCTCAGACACGTTATAAGAGCGTACAGGGATGTAATAGTGAAGCTGAGGGGAAAAGGGAATACCATTAAGTACTATAGTGCCACTGTTAACTTTCTTTTGAATGTTAGGTATGAGTTCCTAAGGAAATATAGGACTGTTCAGCTAAAAATCAACCCCGATAAAGTTTACAATTGTAGTCCCAGACACATATTCTAAAAGACAGGAGTCCTGCAAACATATAATAAGATGTATATATGCTAAAAAAAAAGGCCAGATAAACTTACTGCTGCAACACATCAAGTTTTTAATTTTGGAATATGACGGTAAATTACTGTTTGTGCATGAAAAACACCAGCTTTTCTTCTCAAATTAGACAAGTCGGAGCCAATTAATGTACTATTCTCCTCCTTATAAAAGATAAAGAAAAAAGGGACCCCAAACCCCACGCAGAGGGATGGTCTCAGGCCAATTTCGGTAATGAAAAGAGGCAATCAGAGTCTCATTTGGAACCGAATGTGTCTGAGGCTCGCTTCTGATTGAAAACGCTGCAAACTGGCATGCGTTATTTCTCGGGTCAATAGATACAATTAATTTGCAGCATTAGCCCAACTATTATCACGCGCACGCTTGTTTTATGGCTCTGAAATTTAATAGGCTAATGCAATACAAGTCCCAAATCTCATTTCAGACCCCCTCTCGTAGGATGCCATAATCCGGTCATTTTCTCCCGTGATGACTTGACATGGTGGGAGTCAAGGCTGAGCTGAGTGGCCAAAATCACCATCTGAATCCCATTGCAGCGCATGTGTTTGAAGAGGGGATGACTGATCTGGTGCTGAGGGGAGAGAACCGCACGGTTCGTTCATTCAGAGGGAGGGGGGGAAAAGAAATCTGCTGCTTTCTGGAGAAACTTCAGAGATGATCAGAGGCATTAGGGAGCGCGGCTCTGTGAAAGAGGCTGATGTGTAATTCATATTTCTGCTCCCAACCAGAGAAGACGTCACTGTTGCAGTGAGGAGAAAAGGCGTGTTCGTCCTAACGAGCATAGGATGGCGATGAAAGTCGATATTTTACTTTTTGACAGTGAAATTACACATGGAAACGTCTGATTGATGGTAAATGGAAACCGAACTCAGATTAGGCGCATCTAATGGGCACCCACAACCCATCCTGGTGGACACATAAACGTGCGTAATTTCATAATTCATACATCTGCTTTTTCTTAAGACGCCTCCACTGGGTTTCACATATTTTCCACCATTCCAGGAAATTTCTGGAAACCAAATTGTCAATATTTTAAACCTGGACAGCATGAGGCGGGTCACTGCGTTAAGAATGACTTTTGATTATGAGAAAATACTTTAGGCAAGTTGATTTCCATGGAAAACAAGGGAACGTGAGCACAATCAATTACCAGTTCCCGCAGCGTGCGTAATTTCACTAACCTGCGCCACACGCAGTGCAGCCAGCATTAACAACCTCAGAAACAGAGACATATGCGCGCTTTCTCCAAACCAAATATGCGCAGAACACGTCCATTACTCCGCTGACCCCGGCGGAGACGCGCCGACTGCGCACAGACCCGGGACGGAAGAGCCGTTCCCTCCACGGCACCTGTGCTGTGGCGCGGCCGTTTGGGCTGGTCCCGCAGCTCCACGCTTCACACACACTGCACACACACTGCACACACTCTTCAGTAGAACACGGCTACTTAACGCTGAAAGACTGGAGAGCTCAACCTGTCTGACTCACATCTACAAGGAAGTGAAGCTATTTCTCTCATAACTCAGAGGCTGCAAAGTTGTTCGTAGATAATGATAATGATAATAGTAATAATAATAATAGTAGTAGTAGTAGTAAAGTAGGATACTTACCCAAAATATCCGTTTGACAGCAAATCCTCAGCCTTCAGATGACAATGCATTGAGAAGAAAAAACAGTCGTTATTCTCCTGTAAACTTCATAAAAACCCACAGAGACTACTTTAAAATCCGTAAGTCCTCGCTTCTCAGGGAGCAGTCAGGCGACAGTGGGGGAAAAAAAAGTCTGAAATCCACCTCACGACTTGATAGCGAGAGTCCTCGGCTCGGGCACCGCCGCTCAGAAAGACAACTTCTCCACTAAATCCTGTTTTCCAGTGCGCGCTGCGGTCCAAAGTGTCCAAACCTCCAGAATGCGTTCATCCTGTCGTGCGCGGGGCAGCGTGGAGGAGGCGGACTGGACGCACTGAACACGACTCCTCGATCCTCTCCAGCGCGGATGACAGTCGGTGTGTTTCGTCGCCTCGGATCAACCAACTCGGACTGGTGGCTCTCCTCCGCCGGCTGCCTGTGAAGTAGGAGCTGCACCGCGCTCCCGTCAAGAGAGACCGGTTAGGAGACAGGAAGAGTTCCTGTCTGTACCTTCAAAATAAAACCTTGGGATAAACCAGTGACGCAATGCTTTACTGAACGTTTAATCAAGCGCATCATGTATTTGAATTTGAATATGCCTCAAAACGACGTATGGTATGTAAAGGCCATGTTTTATCATTTGAAGTGGTTCAGTTGTTTTTCAGTAATATAGAATGGAAAGGAATGCATAGGTTGGAGTTAAATAAACGACAGGGTCTGCCTTTAAATCATGTGTTGAATTCATAATGTCAATGGTTGAATTGAAATATATATTTTTTATTTTACATAATTTCCTTGTATAATTTGCTTCCCTGATTTTTGTTACTTGTATTAAGGTGTTTATGAAAACTTTAATATATATATATATATTATATATATATATATATATACATATATATATTAAAAACAAATTCTTGGCACTCAGTTGTTTTAAAATGTGCTAAGAAATAATGATAAAATAAACAAATAAGAAACATGACATAATTGTATGAGTAAATAAAAGAAAAGCTGTTAAGTACATACAGCAAGCAGTAATTCAGGTGGATCATAATTAAGCTATCAAAGGAATCACAACCGCACAAAGACTTTTATTTTGAAGGCTGAGCCGCCAGATGCATTTCGGTGTCTGAGACTGTGTGTGTGTGTGTGTTGACGCTGCTCTACCCTCCAGTACCACCGCAGGATGCCTCCTGGCTGCCTCCGCTGGGCTGCGCACCGCCGGGACAAACAGCAGCAGCAGGGGGAGGGAGATCAGATTTCGGCGCGCCGCCCCTCCGGGGCCGCTGGAGGCAGCAAGCTGCACATGATCCAAGCGCCTCCCACCTCTTCTTTAACTAAAACTCAATGAAGCCAGGCGCTGTAGCAGAGTCCAAAGCTTGCTGTATGGGCCTAAAAAAATGAGTACTTTACAGTCCGTGGTGGTCAATGTTGGGTTTGGGGGACTTGAAAGGGGCTCTAGGTGGTCTTTGGGAACTACATTTACCATTATGTCACACTGTGGAGTTTAATGTGACAGTGAATGTCTAGAGATTGTTTACTGTGACCAGAGAATTCAGTTATCTCCAAGGGCACCATTAAAGGATAAAATCCAGAAAGAATCAGGGGGGCCAGAGCTGCACAGGGGCCCTGGAACATGTCAGGGATTAGAGATCATTTTGTGTGTGAGAGCTGCTTTTGAACTCTCTCGTGAATCCCTTGCTTATCTCCCTAGATAGATTTTTAACAGACAATTAAAAGAAGTAACCAGAAGTTTTGGGACCTGGATCTGACAAATCTGGAATTCTCTTTCCGAGTATAGAGAAATTTGGACATTTTAAGAATAAAATCAACTCTGCTTTTAATACTTCTGAATAAAATATGATTTAATGGGTCCAAGAGGAGAGTTTAAACATTTAGAAAACTCTGCGTGGTGCTACTTTTTGGTTAAATTATTCCAGTGAAGTTATGAAGTTGGTAAAGATGTTACGATTTTGTTATTCTCATATGGTTTAACCTTATTTAATGTCTGATGTTTTACCTTGTTTGATGCAAGATTTACTGGTCCTGTTCTTTAAATGCTGCACATCTTCCCTTTGTTTGGTTTCGTGTTATCTTACTGTAACTCTTGCATTCAGCCATTTCACTATCATTAATTGTTACATGTTAAACACTGGTAACATGTAAATTGTGTCATTTTTCATGCAGAATTGCCTTTCCGTCATTAGAAGATTGCAACCAGCTCAATCCAATGTTTGACCAGTCAGCCCTAAAGTGTACTCAGTGAACAGTAAATTAGCATTAACCACCCATTTAATCTGCCATATACTGCAGCCTTTGGGCTAATTACTGCTGTCAGGACAGAGGTGATTGCACTCGAGGCTGCTTTTAAACAACACGCCAATTACCGTCATCTCTTAAACTGTGTTTTGAGAAGGCAACTTTATGACGCCATAAAGTGAAGCGGCCCTCTGCTAAGCGACTGTGAGGAGGCCGGATGGAGTGTGCCGCTGTCATCCATCTGTGTTTGTCCTGCAGAGGTGAGCACTTCACTGTGATCTGTGACAATCTACTTCAACACGTCATAAATAACAGAAAGGAGAAACATCATCAGATAGATAGGATTTTAAACTGTTTGTTGGTCAGACAAAACAAATACATCACCTTTGCCTCTTGGAACTTGTGATGAGTATATTTCACTATTTTTAGACCTATTTTATAGACTGAAACAGTCCTTCCCAACCTTATTCATTACCCCTTAATACGAAGCCACGTCATGCCTCGTATACGTTTATGAAGTGTGAGCAAACTTTCATTTGAATAATTTTTAAGAGGCCTGAAGAGCTAAAATGATTCAGTATTTCACACGCAAAAAGTAAATATTAAAAAAAAGTAAGCCTAATTTGTGCAGCAGAATTTTGATTTTATTTAGATTTTCTTTCTTTCTTTCTTTGGTACCCAAGTAAACGTCATGCAACATTTGGATTTTTATTGCAAGCCTTAAGGGAGTTCCTGGCCCCTAGGTTGGGAAGCTCTGGACACTACGAATCATAATCATCAGTGTTTATGGTGAAATCTATGTCAAACAAGAGTTTGAATGATTTACTTTCCATGTAGTTACAAGACATTTACATATTCTTTCCACCAAGTCAGATATATCTTTTTTTTTTATTTCCAATAGTAACTATTACTTGTATGTTGACTTGAATAGTATTTGCAAGATATAAAGTGATATTTACAGTTAGTTCCATATAAACTTAACAACATGTGACTGCTACTATGCTATAGGCTTCACATAGTTTCCTCTTTTCTTGCCTTTGTCCCTTTTTTCTCTGGGCCTCAGACTAATTACAGCTGAGAGAAATTTGAAAAACTGGTTCTGTGGTTGCATTTTCTACATCTATGCCACATATTTGGTATTTAATCAACAAAATGGCTCAAAACTGAATGATAATGACAATACACTTAATTTAGAAAGCCTATAAAAAAAGTACTCATGTTTGTAATAAGCATTGACTCTAAGTAAATTAAATGTGACTTTTCTGACCCCAAACAAAAGAAAAAGACCCTTTAATGTTTAAGTAAAAACAGATTTTGTCAAAGCGATCTGAGCTCAGCTAAACTAAATCATTCTCTGTGTGGTGTTACAACACTCTATGGCAAATTCCTTCAGAAATATCCTACTACATACAGGTGCTTCAGTGCTCAACCTCATGGGAAAATCAAACAGGAAAAAAAACGGGGTTCTCATTAAAGCAAGTGAAGAAGAGGAGAGCAGACTGATGATGAAGGCCGGGCTCGGTGACCCTTTGGACTACAGTTCTCTGTGAGAAACGACGGTGGGAGGGAGGCGAGCTCGGGAACAAAAGCCAGTCGGTCAGGAGGAGAGGTCATACAGATGGTGAGAATGCTCAGTCAGACAGCTCGAGTACTGATGGGCAAGCTGACCAAATGACCTCCTCTTCACACACACACACATACACACACACACAAACACACACACTCCTCAGCTCTCCACAACTGCCCATGTTAGTAGGAAAAACAGAACTCCTCCCCGCACCCCCGCAACACCCTAACATCTAATGAACACACACAAACACACACACACCCATCCCCTCCACTTACATTCCTCATCCCCCAGGGAACAGATCAGCGGGAGATGAAAGGTGAGGTCTTTTCATTTAAAATGGAGTTAAAAATTAAACAACAACAAGAAGGCCTCAGAGTTCAGTTTGATTACTAAGCTGCGATGAATTTAAAAACCTCTCCTTCCCAGCAGTTTATTTGGAACATTGTTATCAGGGTGCATATTTTCACTGATAACCCCGTAAAAGCTGGTAGCAGTGACTGTTTTCTCTGTGAGCTTGGTGCGTGTTGCATGTTGCCTGTGTGGGCAACAACCAATTGACTCGCACTGACTGTCTGTGAGAGGTGGACAAAAGCAGCAGGACTAATCATTAACATGAGTGACTCTGGCCGGACAAAGATGCAGCACAAAGGGAGGGAGTTGATCACCGAGGCCACTTCACACTCGACTAGATGCTGTTCTCTGCTCCGTGCGGCTGACCCAGATACACAACAACTGTCGCAGTTTGTCTCGGACAAACATATACAGTATGTTTGAGTGTGACAGCACAACCAGGCAGTGGCTCCCATCATGGGGGTCAGGACCCCTCCAATGGGTCACAAGATGAATTGGAGGGGTCGTGAGATGATTAAAGTCCCCCTCTACTCAAAAATGTTTTTCTTTTTGTTCTTGCCGTTGGTTTGAGCTTCACTGTGCAGGAGGATGTATGTGCACAGTCTGACATTGCGGGGCATGAACGGTGGCATCACAAAGAGTTTTGGAAGTTCTTCCAGTATGCAACTTATATAAATGTGATGTAGACACATGAACCCACCAGTGAATAAACACTGGGAATGGACTTTATAGTGAAGTAGGAGACATCCTGTGTCCAGCAGGAGGAGATGCGGAGATGCATTTTAATGTGGAAATTATACATATTTTATTTATTTTTTTCAGAATTGACATGCTGAACAATTTCTTATCGTCAATCAGTTGAAGAGCTACGCTAAATGAATAACTACCGTAATTTCCGGACTATTGAGCGCACCTGAATATAAGCCGCACCAACTAAATTTAAAAAGAAATAAAAAAATTGTACAATATATAGGCCGCACTTGTCTATAAGCCGCAGGTGTCCACGTTGTAACATGACATTTTTACACAGAAAGATGTACACAGAAAAGATTTTTTAAATTTTAATTAAATAATGCTGCCATCTTCCAACGTTCACCATCGATTCATTGATGCCAAGCTTACGTGCAGCAGCCTATTTTCCTTCTTCGAACAGCAGATCGATTGCCTTTAACTTAAAAGCTGATCTGGCTTTCTTCTTGTGTTTTCCATGATGAGGGTGTGGCTGATCGCAAAAATGACTGAATTA